CCTGTGACCTCTGACCCCCCGTGACCCCTAACCTCCCCATGACCTCTGACCGTCTTGTATCCTCCCTGTGACCTCTAATCTCCACCTCCTATCTGGCTCCCCTCAGTCCCCCGCCCCCAAGCCAAGAGCCTGCAGGAGACAGATGGGTAAACTGAGGCTCACCCGTGTCCAGCTCGTTCCAGGCGCCACGGGGCGGGGTCACGGCGGGCAGGGCCGGGGGTCGGGGGTCAAAGGTCCTGGGGTCACCATCGGGGGAAGCCGCAGGACGGGAAAGGAGGGCATCCGGGGCACGGCCGTGCAGGGTCGTGACCACGGGGTCACGGGGGTTCGCCGTGGGGCCCGGCCGGGCGCGGTGGGATTTGTGCTGTCGCCCCCGCCTGCGGCCCCCTCCAATCCTCCTGGGGACCGGAAGTAAGGAGGCCGGAAGTGAGGAGGACGGAAGTGCAGAGGTCGGACCAGCGGATGCTCGAGGGGTGGAGGCCGGAAGTGGGGATGTCCGTGTCAAAACCAGAAGTGGAGAGGTCCGTAGGGAGACCGGAAGTGTGGAAGTCAGAAGTGGAAATCTCTGAGTGGTGACCGGAAGTCGGGTGGTCCGACTGGAGACCGGAAGTGGGGAGTTCCATGGGGAAACTAGAGGTGTGGAAGCCGGAAGTGGGGATCTCTCAGTCGAAAACCGAAGTGGGTAGGCCGAAGTAGTGGAGGCCGGAAGTGTGGATTTCCGAGTGGAAACCGGAAGTGGGGAGAGAGGAAGTGGGGTAGTCCGAATGGAGACCGGAAGTGGGGATCTCCTTGTGGAGACCGGAAGTGTAGATCTGCGAGTGGAGCCCAGAAGTGGGGATGTTCGAGACAAAACCGGAAGTGTGGAAGCCGGAAGTGGGGTGGTCCGAGTGGAGACCGGAAGTAGGAATTTTCGAGTGGAAACTGGAAGTGTGGAAGCAGGAAGTGCAGGGGTCCGAGTGGAGACTGGAAGTGGGGAGGTCTGCGGGGAGAGCGGAAGTGGGTAGGCGGAAGTAGTGAAGACAGGAAGTGGTGATGTTTTAGTGGAAACCGGCAGTGTGGAGACCAGAAGTGGGGTGGTCTGAGTGGAGACCGGAAGTGGGTCGGCGGAAGACACAGAGACCGGAAGTGGGGATATTTGCGTCGAAACCGGAAGTGTAGAAACCGGAAGTGTGGACACCGGAAGCGAGGTCTCCGTGGAGACAGGAAGCAGGGCGGGCGGGGCCCAGAAGTCACCCGTGCCGCGGCCGCGCACGCGCGCCAGGATTCGCGCCCAGTGCTCAGGCCGGATGTGCTCGGCAGCCACTGGCGGGTGCGGGCGGCGCGGCAAGGCGGGCTCGAAACTGCGGCTGGTGGGGGCGGCGCGGGGGGCGGGAGGGGGAGGCAGAGGCGGCGGATGCCGCTGCTGCCCGCGCCCCGGGCCGCCCGCAGGACGCCGACGCCACAGCCGTGCTTCCCCGGTGCCCAGGCCCGAGCTAGGCACGTCAACAATGACGTCAGCGCCACGCGACGCCCCCGCGGCCGCTTCCGCAGCAGCGCCCGCCATCTTGGAATCCGCCATTTTTGAATCCGCCATCTTGGCCTTCACCATCTTGGAATCCACCATCTTAATTCCCTCCATCTTGGATTCCTCCATCTGGGATTCCGCCATGTTGGTTCCCTCCATCTTTGATTCCACCACCTTGTTTTCGGCCATCTTTATTCCTTCCATCTTGTTTTCCGCCATCTTGATTCCTTCCATCTTGGATTCTGCCATGTTGCTTTCCCTGATCTTGTTTCCCTCCATTTTGCATTCCGCCATCTTGGCGTCCACCATCTTGGAATCCGCCATGTTGGTGTCGGCCATGTTGGATTCCACCATGTTTTCGGCCATCTTGGCTTCCGCCATCTTAGTTCCCTCCATGTTTGATTCTGCAATCTTGGCTTCCGCCATTTTGTTTTCTTCCATCTTGGATTCCACCATCTTGGTTCCCTCCATCTTGGTGTCCACCACCTTGTTTTTGGCCATCTTGGAATCTGCCATGTTGGCGTCGGGCATGTTAGATTCTGCCATGTTTTCGGCCATCTTGCTTCCCTCCATTTTGGATTCCGCCATCTTGGTGTCCACCATCTTGGAATCCACCATCTTAATTCCCTCCATCTTGCTTTCCGCCATCTTGTTGCCTTCCATCTTGGCTTCTGCCATCTTGTCCCCCGCCGCCCCGCCCACGCTGACGTCGGCGTCCCAGCGCGCCAGCCCCAGCGCGTTGGAAGCCACTCACACATAGCGCCCGGCGTGCCTTGGGCCCAGCGTGGGCAGCGTCAGCGTCCCGTCTGCCCCGACCCCGACGCCGTCCGTCCCCAGCTCCGTCCCCGCCCAGGCCCAGCGCCTGCCCGGCAGCAGCCAGCCCACGCGCGCCGCCGGCTCCGCCTCCGCTCGGCAGCCCAGCCGCAGCGCGGCGCCCTCAGGCAGCGTCAGAGCCGTGGCTGCTGGCGCCCGCGGCGCCACCACGAACACGCGCTGCGCCCGGCCTGCCATGGCGGACTCAAAGCCACCGTAGGCCACAGGGCCCGGGGCTGCAGACGGGGCATAGGCCGCGGGGGCTGTGGCTTCAGAAGGGGCGGAGGCCGTGGGGGCTGTGGCTTCAAGGCTGGTGTAGGCCGCGGGGCACACTTCAGAGGTTTCAAAGGCCGCGGGGCCTGGGGCTGCAGACGGGGCTGCCGGGCCTGTGGCTTCAGAGGTGTCAAAGGCTGCGGGGCCTGTGGCTTCAGACACGGTGTAGGCTGCGGGGCCTATGGCTTTCTCCTCAGTGTAGGCCTCAGATCCTATGGCTTTTTCCTCAGCAAAGGCCTCGGATTCTATGGCTTCATTTGCACCATAGGCCTCGGATTCTATGGCTTCATTCACAGCATAGGCCTCGGACTGTATGGCTTTTTCATCACCATAGGTCTCAGATTTTGTGGCTTTTTCTTCAGTGTAGGCCTCGGATCTCATGGCTTCATCTGAGCCATAGGCACTGGATCCTTTGGCTTTCTCAGTGTAGGCCTCAGATCCTATGGCTTCATTCTCAGTGTAGGCCTCAGATTCTATGGCTTCATTCACGTCATAGCCCTCAGATTTGATGGCTTTCTCCTCAGCATAGGCCTGGGATCCTGTGGCTTTCTCCTCAGGGTAGGCCTCGGATCTTGTGGCTTTTTCCTCAGCATAGGCCTCAGATCTCGTGGCTTTCTCCTCAGCGTAGGCCTTGGATCCTATGGCTTCATTCACACCATAGGCCT